AATTAATGAGAATTTATTTAATGATAATTATACGTTATATATTTTGTAAAAATTAATCATTCTATATGAATGTATTCAAAATAGTAAGGGCCTCACTTATATATAACACATAATTTAATAATAAGCTCTAGTGGAAGAATGAATTTAATAGAAAACAAATTAATGTAATAACTAATATATAAAACACCATTTTACGAAAACATGAATGATAATACAGAGTAAAAAAATTACAATTTATATGAAAAAGATTTTTTTATAGACAAAATTTAAAAAGAAAAAAAAGTAATAATAAAATATATTTTACAAAATATATAGCTACTTATTTTTATTGGAATTAAGAATTTTTTGTCAAACTCTGAATCATTAATAAAAAAACACTATATTTTTTTATGAATTAAAATTTTAAAAAATAATAAAGTACTGCCCTGTATTGTGTTCTACGAGGCTTGTATTATTAATTTTTCTTGTAAACTTTTTTATAGCAAAAAATGCCCATTTTATAGTAATAACACAAGCCTAATTTAATGTGAATCTAAATTCAAGAAATGTTTTTACGAATAATTAGTTGTTTCGGTTTTTAAATAAATATAAAGAAATGCATAGTTATATTAATATGATATGTGTTCCTTATTAATACGCCTATAGAAATGATATATATAAAATTATGTTATTAAACATCATTCATACATTATGAATCTCGATGAAACTTAAAGAGGAAAATATATATGCATACTTAAGTTTTTATTATAAATATCTAGTAATAAATTAATATTGGTTATTATGTAGAACTTTCAGAAAAATCAAGATTATTTCTAAAAAAAACATGTAAATATATATACGAATAACATTTCCTACTAGAAGGCTAATAGGTGACTATATTTACATACACATCAAAATTATAATGTATAGGTGAATGTTAAATATTTGAATGATAAAAATGGGGATTGCAATGAATTCGAAAAAACTGTTGAAGTTTTAACTTTTAATGGAAATAGGTTTTCGTCAACATAGTTTAAAGAATCCACATTGAACATCTATGCTATCTCAACAAATGTTTGAACTAATAAATTGTTGTTCTTTAAAACATTATAAAATCTTGTGGTGTGTTAAATTCATTTTAAACAAAATATCTTACCTTCTCATTAAGTATCGTAATCATTTTCTATACATACTATTTTAAATAAAAATAGAGAAAGAAATAATTAAGAAAATATACAAATATGGAATTATATATAGTACTCTCTTTGTATTTAATTTATTTCTATGGATTAATAAAAAGGTTTTTATTATTTTTTAGTGAACTATATATATAAAAAAAAATTCATAAAAAATACTTTTTATTATGAAAATGATTAGATTAATAAAGCTTTACATGTATTATCTTCATATTTTTTACATAAAAAATACGATATATTTTATAATGAATTAACTTTTTATAGCTCAATGTGGTTTATTTTTTTGAAGTATTTTAAATGTTTGCAATAAAAAAAAAGCTGTATAATGTGTTACTTTTCATTTTTATTTTATTCATTCATGCAGGCCATACATAAAATTTATATCTTTTCCTTTGTTATATATATATTTTAGTATATTAAGAATTATATGTTTTCTGGGTCAACGCTTTTTATGATATTTATCCTGTTATAACATTTCTTTAATACGAAACACAAAATTTTATTTATACTAGTATTATTATGCATTATTGCATATTTGTAATTATATATATAATGAATAGCTTTATATTTTATATTCCAGATATTAAAAAATTTAAAATGTATCACTTTATACGATTAAAATAAAAATAGATTACAGAATTATTTGTGTTTACATCATTAAACATATCATGTTATATATATTCTTATATCATGACATATTCACTGTATTTGTTTGCGTCTATGGGTAACTTTTAAGCAAGTTCTATTATATTATATATAATACTATGGAATTATAATATGTGATTTAATGAAAATTTAGAGACAAAATTAATTTTTTATGTTTTCTTAGAAAATTATTACATTTAAAATTAAAGAACACGTGAAACATATGTCCATGTTTATAAAAAAGGATATATTCACTATGTTAAATTATTTTATATCTATTTAAAACATTAATATTATAGTGTTCGTAAATTTGTTTATAGTATAAATCTACTTTCACATTTGCAAATTTTGATAAATGTGCATAATAAATTTATTTTATTTATATTACGTCTTTTAGTATGTACATTGACACGTTATGTAATTAATGAGTGATGATTTATGTTTTTCAATAATATAGATATAAAAATAAAATGTATACATTACATGAGATTAAGATATTCTTTTTTAATTCTAAATTTAATTTTTACTTGTAGGATCATATACAATAATTCAATTTTTGTAATATTATATATGTTTATGATTCATTTATATTAATCCTTTCAAGCGTCATGTATATTTCATTCCTATAAATGTACGTGATATGTATATATAATAAAGGTTACTGAAAATGGCAACAGGAGCATGTCTTAAACTTTAATTTGTGCAAAATTTATAATTATTATTTCTTCAACATTTTAAAAATATTTTATATATTATTCTTAACATATATTATATATTTATCAAGATTTCAATGAAGAAAATCTGAATTCAAATTGAATTAAAACAGAATTACTAAAGGATTCGAATCAAAGAAATATGGAATTAATAACTAAATGTTTACAAAGTGATTTTTGCAATATTAATAAATAAATAGAACTTTTCAATGATAAAAATTATGCTTAGTTATTAGAAACTAAAAAGTACGTGTTATAAAGGAAATATTTAAAAAAAATACCTTCCATATATGTGAATTATTTTTTATATTTGTTAAATGAATTAGTTAATATATCTAGATTAAAAGTTGATCATAAGAAAAGTTTTATAGAACTCCTTGAATAATTTTTTATGGAGTTATATAATAACAAAAATTATAATAGCATTAGAAAAAAATATATGTACTAAATTATTGAAAAATATATATTAAAACAATTACACTGTTTTTTATTAGGATAAATATTATTTGTATAATGAATTAAAATAATCTACAAACATTATATTCTAAGTATAAATATTAGTTTAACAAAATATGGGAAAGAATATATCAGTATCTAAAATCTCATATTGTATATAGAAAGATAAATTTTTCCATTGATTTCACATCTAGAATTGTCCTATATGAACATTTACTTTTGATGAATGAATTTCTATACTCTACAAATCTTCATGTATACAGTAATATTAATCTCACTTTTTATAAATGTATTAAGAACTCCTAATGTAGATAAAATTTTAATCTCATACAGTATTCAACAGGATAGGATATTCCATGGGGGTATTCCCCAAGAGAACTATGCTTTAGTTGACGAATATCAAGAGACTAATAAATTTATAAGTTCAATATATACTCAACACTATTTTAATTCTATTGAGAACTATAATCATAAGTGTGGTAAATAACAAATTAACATAAAATAAATATATAAAAATATTAATGAAGTGTACTTTATTATTAATTTAAATAAGAAAAAAGTTACAGTTATAGAAATATAATTGATTCATGTATTGTATTTATATATTTTTTATTAGTTTAATACTTTCGTTGCGCAGATACAGGCTGGATTAATCAAGAAATTATTACAAAATAATAAACATTAAAGTGATACAGATTCATTATTACTGAGTGTAATTAGCAACATATTTATTATAGCATGCACTTCTTGATTTTATAAATATAAATGCAGCACTTGAACAATTAGAGTAAATACAAAATATGAAAAAGAAAACCATGATTTTTTTATTATAAATACTTGCTAATATAAATATAATTGATTGAATAATTATATAAAATAATGATAGAAATATGGAATTCTTATTACGAAATGAATGTATTATTTTATACATATTAAAGAAATTACAATGTCATTTTTATAAAATATGAAAAATATATATAACTATGATATTAAATCAGGATGATATAAAAACAATGGAATGTATTTATTACAAATGCATAGTAAAATATGAAATATACTTTAACATAGCACTTTTATATATACAAAAATACGTATATATAATAATATAATTATTCATGCATTTTATAAAGTTTATCATGTATTAACAATTATAAAATTTATATATTATTAATGATTTAATCCATCTAAATTTACAAATAAATTAATGTACAATATATTTATAATTATAGGGCATATGTGTTTTTTTTTTTAGAATGATACAATGAGCATAATCATACGAAACTTTGCAAGTAGGCAATACTGTTACAATTTTTTCTTCGATAAGAAAATGTATATTATTTTTAATATATCTTCATTTGTTGTAACATGCGTCATAACAATACATGTACTACAGGATGTTTTAATTATTCTTATGTAAATATATAATTCATTAATTAATATTCCAATACTCTATTCTAATACCTAATTGAATCAATTGCTTAAAGTTTAATATTATTTGTTTTTTTCTGTTAACGTCTAGGTTTTATTATTGATTGCTTATATTTGATTTATACCTTTGTATCTTTTTTAATATAACAGAAAAATAGAACATTTCTAAAGGTTTATTTCTATGTAAAAATATAAGACATTTTATATTATATTTTTTAAAGTACATATGCATTATTGTTTAATCAAACATAGTATATGATCGTTTTATTAATAAAATAATGAATTGTAAACTAAGAGAATTTATTTTAACTTAAAATTCATTATGTTAAAACAACATAATCATGTAATATATACATAATATTATTATTCACTATTTTTTCTCATAATGAATAATATTTGGATTATTGTTTTGAATATTATATTATCAAATTTACAAATGTATATTTATTTTTCATTTATTATATTAATTGTTTCTCCTTTTTTTGAAGTTAATAAAGGAAATATAATACATTTAATTTTTTTACAGGTACTTATATTTGGCTTAAGGAATTTTTTTTCAACGATTACTATATTTTGTCACAAATTAATCACAAGAATATAATAGGTTATATCTGATATCATCGGATATACTTTTGGAATTTTCTGATTGTTGCAATACATTCCATTTTTCATCTGTTTTATTCCATTTATTCCTTTTTCTTTTTAGTATATGATGAACATGAGAACCACATGAGGTGCACTAAGTTATAACAAAAATTTGTTATATACTAAAATTATAATTTTATTAATATATATTTTTTTTCTAAAGTATTTATAAAATAATTTTATTTTATAAATATGAATAAAGTATATCATTATTAACCTTATACAGGATACATAAAAACAATAATAATATTAATATTAAAACAATTGTAATTGATATAGGAACAATAGAATTACTTGTTCGGAAAGATGGTAATATTTGGTAATCGAGATTTTTACAAATTTTATTTTTCATTATTGCATTATATTGAACTCTAAATTCATCTAGGGAACTACAGAAATCCTTGTTGTTATTTGAATTACAAGCATCCTTATAATTCATATATATATTGGAACACTTATTGGCACAATAGCATTTTTTATCTTCAGGACAAATTTTTGTATCATTAATATTATTTAACTTAGTGTACAGATCATACATATCATTCACTTTTTGCATATGATTGTCTGTTATATTAGTTTTTATAAAATCGTTACAAATAGGAGTATCACTATTTCTTTTATAAACAAAGAGAATAATGTCATAAAGTGTTTTGGTATAGATAGCTTTATTCTCCCCCTTAAGTTTATTATACATCCAAAAGTACATGTATTTACAACTTGCTTCTTTTATTCTGTCATAAGACGTGTCATGTATTTTTTTCAAATATGCCATAACTGTTGAACATATTGTATTATTTATAGTACCCAAAACGTCTGAAAACACATTATTTATATTCGAACATTGGCTTGTAAACTCACCATTGCTATGAGTTATTGAAGAATTAAAAAGTAATTCACATTCACTAAATGAATTTACAAATTCATACTGTAAAAATAAAAAGTAAATATAAATCAATAGTGCAACAAAAATTATATTAGGTTAAAATACATTTTATAATATATTTATAGAAATTTATGTGTGAATACAATTATAATGTTGTAATTTACATTACAATAATTCGAACATACTATAGTTTTCCCCATCTCAGTTAATATTCTTTCCTTTTTCAGATTAAATAAATAAAATAATAAAAATTATCAGCATGAAAATATATTTTTAAATATGAGTGTGCATAATATGTTTGGACTCTATGTCACAAAATTACACAGTTACAGAATAAAGTTAAATATGTGTATGTCTCTCCTTATCACTATCTATTATACAGTATAAAATATAGTAGGAATTATTTATTAATTATTATACATATTATTAATTTTTTCAATGAAAAAATGAAAAACATAAAAATATAATTTAGAAACAAATGTAAATGTTACCCCTCCTTAAAGTTTAATGTTCGAAGAGCCTTAAAATTTGATGATTATATAATTTTTGCAACACCCTCAGTAAAAAAAATATATAATGCTAATACATTTTATTAACTTTATATATAATTAACGTTTTCCTTCTATATAACTATTTTACACAATAAAATATATTTTAGTGTAAAAAGCATGAATTCATAGAATAAATAATTAGGTTTTAGGATTCAGATGTTAGTGACTTGGTTGTGCTTATATAAAGAATAATTGATACATATTAGTAAGAATTATCGTATCTTCATGAATTCTATGTAATTTCAATACACAAAACATAAAAATGGGTCAATATAATATATTTATTAAAATAATTTTAATATGCAAGGTTATTTAATATTTTAAGTATTCACATATATTTTTTTTTAGTAAGAGCTTTCAACACTATAAAAGCATATTTAAAAAAATATCAGAATGCATAATTCATACACCTATTTAAATTTAAAGTAAAATATATAATCATGTATTATATGTTGTTCTGGTATAATGTTCACATTTCTAATATGTTATTATTCTGTAAAAGTGATGAAACGTTTTATAAAACATTGATACTCATGCCGTAAATAACAAATATTATAACAAGATGATATTTAACCGTTTTTTTTTGTGTGCATTTTGCATTCATAAGATATAATTTATTGCTTTTTATAAATATATATTTTTTCTGAACATTATATCAATTGAATGTATACAAGTTTTAAATTATGAAACAGTTTCTTCGTATACAAAAAAACATTTAAAAAATATATATAATGTGTTATAATTATGATGAATAAATATAAGAATTTTATTAATACTATTTAAATGCATAGAATAACCAATATAATTTTAGTAGCTTTATTTTATCAATTTTCATTAATTATTGATTTAAGTTTGAAAACAACATATATGGAGATATAACAGATAAATGTGTCGTAAGAGTTCTTATAACAATTTACTATTTTATGATATTTGTATAAGAATAATTTTTTATTTATTAATTATAAAAAAAATAAATGCAAATAATTTTATAAATTTGTTGCTATTTTTAGTATATAATTTTGAAACAAACTTTCAGTATTTATTATACGCCTTAACATATATTTTTTTCGTGCGTGTGTTAACTATAAGGAAAATATATTTTAATTTCTATATTCATGCTATATTTATTAATAATATACCATAAAAGAACAAATATTATGTATTATACATAAATGTAGTTATGAACACAAAAATAATACTATTGTTAATGCTTTTATACAACTACGTAATGAAGTGTATGATACATTTATTATAACTGTAATTGAAAATATTATATATATAAGTATAGCATATATATTTATACTTTTTAATAATTAATTTAAAATATTTAAATGAAAAAATGTGTTTTCTTACGTTAATTGAATTATGAAGCATTTTAAAATTTTACTCAATTGTATTTGAAATAGAGAATTAAAAAAATACATAATAGTTTATGATTATTTTGTTTGATGTTTCCTGTATGAATATAGGAATGTATTATATACTTATTAAAAATAGTAAATTCATTTTAGATATTTTCTTAGTTCTTATCTCCTCTATTGGAATTATATGCAGAATATTATATACATTATTAAAAAAATATAGAATGTTCTTATAAATTCATGTTATGTTTCCCTTTACTGAGTTTAATATAAAAGAAGCTATAATGTTCTTTTATTTTTATTGACTAATATTTACAATAACTGAATAACTTTTTTATGAATTATGTAATCCCCTTTAGGAAATTTTGTACAGATTTTATATCTATTTTTTCTTACACACCCATGAGTAAAAAAAACTATAAATAATATAATGAAATGAATAATTATAAAACATAGTGTACAATAAATTTACTATATTATATTATTAAGATAATTATAATAATTATTATTTTTGATGCATTCATGATATGTTTTACATCATTCACAAATACTTAAATTCAAATATTAATGGTAAATAATTTTACTTAGCTTTATATTTACAGATATATCTATTATATATAAAATTTACATGAATATTTACATAAGGATATATTTTTATTGGTTTTAAAACAAATTCAGTTTTTACATATCATAATTATGTATTCGTTTGTATTAAGTGTAAATTGGTTCTTAATAATATTCAATAAGGATTTAATTTAAACAGTACACATTATACTTCTATTGAGAATGTGTAAAAATAATATTGGTTAAATTTCATCTGATATATATGAAATTCATAAAAATTAATTATGTGAATAGAATCTAACATGCATAATAAGGTCTTCTCTATTTTTTTTGTGTTAAATATTTTATTATAAGGAACAATATGTATGAATTAAAAATAATAGTATTTATAAAACGTGTGCAATATATTATGCATTTTTTATATTTGTACGACCATCTATTAGATTCTTCGTCATTATTCATTTACAGTCTTTCTTTAATAATTATTATATAGGATATATATTGATAATTTTTTCCTCATTAAATGTACTAATAAACGTTATAAACATAATCTTTCTTATTAATATATATAGTGTTTATCCATTAATAAAAGTGACAGGTAATATATAAAATAATTAGTACCATAAAAAGTATTGCATATCAATGATTATATGTGAAATAAAAATTTATAAAATATGTATATATAGATAAAAATGAAAGCATGTAATTTTTTTATACTGACGCATAAAAATTTGCTCATAAGTTATTTTTTATATTTGTCCTGTAATTCTTTTTCATTTTAAACAATACACTTTATGTTTAATGTAATTTATTTTTTAATGTATTCAGATTTATTAAAATCTTTAGGTGAACCTAGTTATATGTTTAATGTTAACATTATTATTTAATGTAATATACAGTATAAAAGTAAAAAAAACGATTTATTTTGGAAATACTAGTAACTTTTTTTATTATAGTTATATATATTTAAAATAGTTAGGAGAATATATATATATATATTATTAAAGCTAAATAGATTATTCTTTGTTATATTTGCTTGAATAATTGATATTTTAAATAAATAAAGGCTTCAAATAATAAAATAATATATGTGAAATGCAAATAACTATAACAAACCTTAACTTTAGTATAATTTATATTATAATCCATTATGACTAATATTTTAAGCAAAAATTTATCTTGTATTATAATCATATATAATAT